TGATCTCAGACCCAAGGTGACCAATGACTTAAACAGTTATAACTGGGTTTTTATTTAATATGTTTCTATTTGGCACCTGTTCAAATGACCCCGGGGTGTGGCTCTCTCGGTTGTTAACGCCTATGAACGTAGCCCGATTCAAACAAGAATAAAGAGTGAGCTACCACAGTGATTCCCATCATCATGTCTTATGTCTGTAAGTTTCACTATGTATGAGGCAGCAAATAATCATGCCACTGAGAACTTGCTTAGTGAGGCCCAGGACCACCTCACTCGGTGATTGTCGCTATAAAATCTCATAGGACATTCAGAATGTCCTTAAAGTGCTAGAAACAGGCAAATCTCTTTTCAAGCCTACTACCTCGTATATGCCTCATGTGCCCATAATTTACCTGAATGAATCCTTTAAATGAGCCATTGATGTCCTATTAGCCATTTTTTTCCTCCCAAAGAAATTCATGTTCAACTGCAAGGTAACTTCCCTGTGTGAAATTTACAAGTCTGTCAGCCATAAAAAACATTAATGCATAATACATAAACAAAATATGTGCTTTTTTTTTTTTCAAAAAATGGCAAAAGAAAAAAGAAAGGAGTTTAGCTTGCTTTCCGAAGGGAGAAAACATGGATCTTGCATTTTTATTTTTGATGCCTTTTCGCCTTTAAATATATGACATGACTATTAAGGCCCATATTCACAGCAGGAGTAGGAGGGAAATGGCAGTAAATTGTAAAGCACATTTACATTATAACAAGGCCCATGGAAGCATTGTAATTCGCACAGTTATTTCAACAGAGTTTGGACTCCCTCCAATTTAATTTTCTGAAGTTGGGCTGTGCAGCTGGGTCATTCCTGGTCTAATCTGGGAAATGTATCTCCTAAGGTTGTGGATTAGAATGCCAGCCTCCCAGCTGTCACCAAGGAGCATCATTTACAGCCACTGAGGTCCGAGGACAAAGCATCAGAATCACTTTATGTGGACACAGCAGCCTAGCTAGCTTCATAAATTCTGTTGCAAAGAGCAATAATCAATATTTCACGTTTAATGATGCAGAGCTAAAATTAGTATAGATTTTATGTCTTCTACTTTTCCAAATTATGCAAACATTAGTAACCCCTTTTTTAGTGCTCTTATTACACTTCCGTTAAAAAAAGGGCGATTTGGGGGTAGGGGCAGTGGGGAAGGCTGGTGATGTTTAATTGAATGATTGAATAGTCAAAAGTGTCAAAAGTAATTTTGGCTTTTAACTTTTGTTAAATAGTTACCCTTAGGTTAATATGAAATTATTCCCAACACAAAAAATGGCGTATGCAAGTGGCACAGGCTTTGTCACCCACAGCTACGCAGTAGAGTAAATTGCAGAGTGTTTCCACGTTTTAGGCTACCTTAGATGCTCTGGGATGTGCGGGGAATAAAATGGCCAGGGTGTCAGTCAGGAAAGTTAAAAGGTTGCTGTTTAGACACCAGTGCACTTTAGAGAAAAAGCAATTTTGAGTGGATTTCTGATTTTAAACTTGTCTGCTTGTTTAGTGAGTAGAAGCAGCAGGGAGAGAAAACAACAAGAACAGCGTTTTATTATTGGGCAGGTTGAGGGGCTGCCTAAGGTGCCACAGCGATGAGCTTGTCCAACCTCTTAGCTGTATTCTCCTGTTGTGACAGGAGAAAAACCTGCAGGATTAAAGTGGGAGGGGGAATCCAGTAACAAAAGAATAAAATCCAGCATCCACCATCCAGTTCACACCTAAGTCACTTCAGGATGACTCTCATGACAGTGGGAAACATGGGCTTTGGCAAGTAGTCAATGAGTTATTCCCCCAACATACAGCCTACAGTCCATAGCCACTAGTAGCACAGATTTGATTTGGAGAAATGAGATGAAGGAGTATGGAATGTTATATGTCTGGGTTGTACTTGAATAATTCAACTTGTACTTTGCAGAGGAGCTTAGCCGAAATTTCAAAAAGGACAAGTTAAATAGAGCATGATGGAAATCTTATCTGGTGAGTCAAATTGAGCCAGAAAATTGGGGTTAGGCCCTTGAGTTAGGACAACTCCTGTAGGGGATCAACCATCAAACAGACATGTTCGTTGTTAGTTAACATGATTAATTAACATCATTAGTTGAATTTGTTGGATTATAGAAAAGGAACTGCAAGGACAGGGTAAAAAAAGCAAATGTAGGATCCTTGAGGCATGTCAGCTGGAGTCCAGGGAGAAGACAGATGACTCACTTAGAAGGGTGATGGAAAGAGTTTAATGAAGTGACTACACAGGTATGGGTGGGATGTAGGGAAACACAAGGGATGGTGAGCACCTGGGGCTACCAAGAGCTGGAAGGGGCAAGAGGAGGGAAGAGAAAGGAAGGTCTTGGAGGGGCAAGAAAAGGGAGCAGTTATGGGAACGTGGCAAGAACTACCACGTGGGAGAGGCCACCCCATGGGAGCTGCGGCCTTCAGTTACGCCAGCCTGTGCTCCAGTAGGAGAGGAAGCAGGAGAATCAGCACTCCAACTGCTCTCTTCTGCTGCCAGTGCCCCCTCGCTCAGACCCCATCCGGAGCCACAGAACAAAGACGTCTGGTGGAGAAAGCCCCAATTAGGAGCTTCCCAGAGCGCAGAGGAGAGTGGAGAAGAGTAAGGAGTATAAATGGGGAGATGTTGGTCAAGAGGTACAATGTCTCAGTTATGCAAGATGAATACGTTCTGGAGATCTAATGTACCCCAAGGTGCCACAGTTAACGGTACCGTGGTGTATACTCAACATTTGCTAAGAGGGTAGGTCTTAAGTGTTCCCACCACAAAAAAAGGAAAAGAAAATGATAACTATGTGAGGTGAGGGATATATTAGCTTGATTGTGGTGATTATTTCACAATGTATGCATATATCAAGTGTATACCTTAAATATATACAATTTTTAATTGTCAATTATACCTCAATGGATCTGAAAAAATATAATGTTAAATAAAAAAGAAAGCTACAGAGTGACAAATAAGAGTATTTCTGGAGGGACAGAGAAGAATCAGCAGAGGACATACAAATTCTTGGGGTTTGGGGGGCCATTAGCTACTAAGGTCTCTTTTCATCTCAGTCGGATCAATACATTCAATTCACTTCTTCAGCAGATATTTATGAAGCACCCCCTAAATGCCTCATTTGGAGAATAGGCACCTCAAGGTGAATAAGTCACCATCACTGACCTCAAGGAGCTTAGGAGGGGGTCAGGTAAAGAGGGGTGCTAAAATAGGGATCACCACAGGTTGCTGAGGAAGCAGCACGGGGAACCCAACGCTCCTGTGAGTTTGGCAAGCCTGCATGGAGGAGGGGAAAGTTGGAAGGAAGGAAGGAAGGAAGAATTGGTGTGGGCTGGCAGAAGGGTTGGGGACACACTGTCCACGAATGTCCGGTGAGAGAGCACGTGAGTTCCAGGCTGGTGTGAAGTTTCATATGACTAGACCTGGAGAGGGAGTGTGTGGGGCAGGGCGCATGAGGCGGGGCAGGGGGTGGCAAGCTGGGCGCCAGACCTTGGCTGAGACCTAGGAATCCACCAGGAGCCATGTCAGTTTCTGTAATAAAATGACATTGCTAGATGCGAAATCAGAGACGAGGAGGACTAGTGGGAGGAACCCATGATGGGCTAGATTGGTTTGTAGATGTCTTTAATGGTAAATTAAAGCAAAACTTTCTCAAACAGTGAAATTCTGAGTGAAGATCTGTTAGGCAAGATGACTTCCTTATCTATCTCCAGAAAATGAGGACATGGTTTGGAACTTCCAGCCCAGTTGAACTGAAGTGTTTCTGTATAGTTAGCTTAAATAACCAAATGATGAAATCAATCCTCCAAATTGTCAGCAGAGCAGCTGGTCAGAAAGCTCTTGTTAGTCGTTGACCTGATGTTTAATATGATTTCCTAGAACGTGGATAGTCAGACTGAATAAAATGCCACTTCAAAGCCCTTCCACCCCAAGCTCCCTGCGGTGAGAGAGCCCAGGAGAAGGGAGTGGCTGGCACAGAGCACAAGAGCCCTTTCCTCTCTGCCTCCCACACTCCCAGGGAGAAAGTAAAGGAGAGCACACCACAGGCGCGCCTTAGAGAAGGAAGGTGCCAGGACTACGGACAGCTCAGACTCTCCCCTGATCATAATGCAGGGGGTGAAAAGGAAAAGTTTATGACTCAAAAATCCTCCTCTGGTTTTCAAGAATAACTAAGGATTCTTATCGAACCTATTTCCTTTCTGTATAAAAGTGGCTTCAAGCCTGACCTTTCATATGACCTAGATTTATTGCTTATGTCAGCAGAGGTGGGATGGGATATGATGGAGGATTAGGTGGGATAGTTGGGGGAAAATAGAGAATCAATGTAGAGGCTTATTCTTAGAATAAGGAAGCACCATCTATAGTGCTAAAGAGTAAGCTACACCTTGAAAATAAAATGCCATGTATAAGATTGAAAAGGATGCTCTGTCTACCTATCTATCTGTCTGTCTATCTATCTATCTACCTACCTATCTATCTGTCTATCTATCTATCTATCTATCTGTCTGTCTGTCTATGTATGTATGTATGTATGTATCTGCCTGTCATCTCTATCTTCCTACCCATTTATCCTACTCTGCTTACATAGTACTCGCTTCCACTTACTGTGAAAAGCACACATGTAAGAGAGTTAAAATAAAAATAAAGACGTTTACACATCATGTAGTGAAAGAGGGGGGAATAATTGTACTAATAGCCTGAAAAGAATAGTCATGGCAATTGAATATTGAATGTAGCTTAAGCTTCTGGCAGCCAAGGCAAAATAAACAAAGCTCTGTAAGACTTATAAGTTGCTCTTGCTGATGAAAAGAGGTGCACTATTACTATATCAAAAGGGGAAACTAACCCCTAGTACTAAATCCTAAAATTTCATTCTTTTATATTTTCTCTCTTTTATATAAGAGAAAAATTTAGCAAAGTATCCAGTGTCATATACAGCAACTTTGCAGAAGACACAGACATGTTCTTCACATGAGGTTGGTTATACCAGTGTTGGATACCACAGCACCAGCCTCTAATGAAAAGAAATCCAAGACCATGGCCTGCTTCATCCATTGGTCTTCTGAATAACACATTTTTAAGACGCTGCTAAAATGAAACAAAACAACACCACCACCACTGTCCAGTTCGGGACTATTATAGTTCTACAGTTCATCTAGTTAGGATTTTGTATTATGTAGCCCTAGGTTGTAGCTCACTTCTGAGTTAGGATTCTTTCAATTGCAAAAAACAGAAATCTCAACCCAAAGTGCCGTAAGCAAATGAGAGAATCTATTGGCTCATGAAACTGAAAAGTCCATCAATATGCTGGTTTCAAGTTCCACTTGGACCCAGAAGTCCACAGCATCCCTGGGGCTCTGGCTCCTTGGCTGTTTTCCTTGTCTCCATCCTCTTTGCTGTGTTATCTTTTTCCTCCAGCTAGCATCTCTCACAGCAGCAAATGCTTCTATTAGAGTTCCAGGTTTTCTCACACTTCAAAATCCTCAGGCTCTAAAATTCAGAGGAAGAAAACAAAGTTCTTCTCTAAACACTGAAGTGAAGTTTAAACAATTAACATTGGTTTAGCAAACTAATGTCAAAATATAATGTTGAGTGAATTAAGCCAGACACAAAAGAATAGATAATCTTATATGAAATTCTAGAACAGGCAAAATTAATCTATGGTGATAGAAATCAGAACAGGGGTGCCTTTGGGAGAGGGGAATTGATTGTACAGGGACACAAAGGAACTTTCTGGAGTAAGAGAGATGTTCTATATTTTGGTTTGGGCGGTAGTTCTACCAAAGTATGCATTTGTCAAAAATCATTGTATGACACACTTATGATATGTACATTTCACACACTTAAAGAAGAAAGCCCAGGTAGTAAAAGATCATGCCGCCTGATGTGAGGAGGCTTGACTGAAGTGGGCTAACAAGGGAAGCAGGGAGACAGGAGTCTACTGAAGTTGGCTTAGACCAGACTGAGAAGTAGTCGTCAAGTTCCAGATATATTTTGAAGCTGGGGCTGACAAGATTAGCTGATTGACTGACTGTGGATTGTGAGAGGAAGAAGGGAGCAAAGCCTGACTCTTAGGTTTTGGCTCTGCATATCTAGGCAAATAGTGATGCCATTTGCTAAAATGAGGAAGGAATGGTGAAGAAGGAGGTTTGGGTGAGCGTATGGGCAGAGAAATCAAGACTTTGGTTTTGAACATGAATTGCCTGTCAGACATGCACATGGAGCTGCCAGGTTGGCAAATGGATGCAGAGGGCGAGGTCAGGTCCAAATATAAATTTAAAGCCATGGGACTGGATAAGACCTCCTGAGGAGAGAGGATAGACAGGGAAGAGAAGAGGACAGAAGCCTAGGACAGGCTGCTGGCATGTTTCCAGAGGAGCTGAGATTTTGTAGGAGTGAGAGGGGTCTGGGAGCAGTAATGAGGAGAGAGACTATGTAGTGCATAGCATGTAGGGGAAAAATGGCCACCTCTTAAGGGGACCAGAGGGGAGAAGGTGTGCTCAGGGACTCAGCCAAGTTTGTCATCAGCAAAATCCCTTATATCCTAAAACTCTTTTCTAAACAGTTCTTTGATCTTCTTGCTCTAACAAAACCTTAGCTGTCCCCAGAAGACTGAAGCAGTGTTCAGTTAGAAGAAGATAATTAAGGGAACGTTCAAAGAAGTTGAGGAGATAGAGGATTTTGCTGATGACAGAATGTGAGTTCCAAAGGGCTTGGTGGAAAGGTTGGAGGGATTGGGAAGAGGTGGTGATTAGGTCAAATTCTGGGACCGTACAGTGAAATGTGAAGTTAAAGAGATTGGGTAATGGGGGATTACCTAGGAGACTCGGATGGCTGGTGTGTTAGAAGCATGTTGAGACTAGTTCTGATGGTCTTTTAGGGGCAAATGAGTAATTAGTTCTGCCTGGGGCTTCCTCTTGGCACTTCAGCAGTTCATGATGATGAGGCAAGTAGTGCGACCTCAGGAATGGTGGTCTTCCCAGGACCAGAGTTCTGTGGGTCTTCCTTAAATCCCACTGTGACTAACAGCAAGACTGGGGACAGGAAGTCTCACCAGGAACCTGGGCCGTCTTCTGTCGCATTGCTGAACCAACCACTGTGGCTGAGGGATGAGATTACAGACACTGGATGCCTGACGTTCAGGGAAGGCGTGTGTGTGGTTTTTGTGTGTAAGTGTGTGTCAGGGAAGAGTTACCAAGAAACAAGAGAGGATGGTTGCTGAACAGCCAACCCCAGCTCACGTTTGTTAGAGCCCCTCACCTGGCAACCAGCAAAGATAATGCCATTGACAGAGGAAAATGGGAAGAGGTGGGTGGATCCACACAAACATATGTCCATTCTGGAAAAACAACAGGAAGCATTATCTTTAGTGATGAAAAAAGTCATGCAATTTGAGTGGCAGTGTTGTATTCTAATTTGATCAAAGATCAAATTATATTCTATGTTTAAGCACTTATCCACTACAAAGTCCAGAATTCTTAACAATGATTATTATAATTCTTATTATTATAATTCTTACTCAGTCCCAATGTCAATTTTGCTAATAATTGTCCTCAAATATTATTGCCATAAGTACATGGGGTCAATTTGTAAGACACTTCTTTTCTTTTTCACAGGAAGAAATGAAAAGATTGCAGAATCCTTTAAAACAAGTTAATGCAATGATGGAAAATAATGATGGAAAAAATTTACTTGAAAAGTAAGTAAAAAATACTAAAGAAAATTAAGTTATTTGTGAGGTTGAAAAGCTTGCATGAAAAAAACCTACCTGGCAAGGCAAAATGAAAAAGTAAATTGGACAGTTTCTCATGATATCATTGTGGTCAGGACCCAGAGATGGGGCTTACGTGAAATAGAGTTAGATAGATTTATGACTATTGAGCTACGGTACACAAGCTGTACTGATTAACAGTAATATGATGCGTGGAGATGTTTCTGGAGGGGTGTCTGAGGGCTTGAAACCTAACCCTGCCCTGTTTTTGGCCTTTCATCAGTGACATCTATAGCAGGCAATCAGCAATTTGCAAGAAGCACAAGGGTTGGTTGCACTAAAACTAATAGAATGAACATTCAAAATAACACTGCAGAATGGAACAAAACTGAGCTGAAAAAAAAAGCAAGCAAGAAACAGACAAAATTGAACAGAGATAAAAGTAAAGTCTTCCATTTAGGTTTTTTAAAAATTGTACAACTAGAACATGTGAGAGATATATTCTGATTTTAATTTGTGGATAAATGCTTAGAGGTTTTATCTGATGTTAACAAGACATCATGATTTTATACGGCTTCTGAAAACGTTACTGCAATATTAGACTGACTAGTAGGCATGCACTGACAAGACAGAAGAAGAAAAAGTTAATTGTCATTTATTGAGCTTTTACAATGTCCTCTGTATTGCTGAGTGCTCACAGATGTCTCCTCATTGAATTCTGATTATAGCCTGTTGATGTAGGCATCATTATTTCCATTGCAGACAGGGACAGAGGCTCAGAGCTTTCAGCACTTGTCTGAATACACTCAGCTAAGAGTGGTGAGGATGAGAATCAAATCCAGGCTGGGATGTCCCCTGCTCTCCACCGCTGCTCAGTCCCAATGTCAAGCCCATGTGGGTGTCGTGCTTGGCTCCGGGCACCACATCTGAAAGTCACGTTGACATCCCCAAGAGCATCAGAGGAAGTCAATTAAAATTGTGAGGGTTCTGGAACGTGTGAAACTACTACAAAGAGCTGAGGATGTGTTGCTTGGAGAAGAAAAAAATCTCAGAGGGAACATAACAGCCGTCCTTAAACATCTGAAGGAATTGTCCTGTAAAAGAGGGACTGAATTGCTCTTCTTGCCCTAGGAAGATCAATGAGCAGGATTTGTGGAGCAACAGCTCTGTGACCCAGAAAAATGATAACTTTTGTAAAAAGTCAGCCTGTCCAACAGAGTGGACTTCTTTGTTAAGGAGTGAGCTGGTAGACACTGGAAGTGCCCAAGAAGAGTATAAATGACCATCCATCTGAGATGCTGTTGAAAACATTCCTGAAAATGGAAAAGTTTGGATTTGATTCCTCTTTGTGCTTTTTCCTAGCTTTGTGAGTCTGGACAAATTATTTAACCACCCTGAACCCCAGTTTCCCCGTCTTTAAAAATGAAGATAATAATACTGGCTTGACAGTCTAATTGAGAGCATTAGATGAGACCCCTCAGGATGGCATGGTGCCCTCAACGTCTGCTCCTTCCCTTTGCACCTGGGTGGGTGTTGGGATAGGCAGCTTCTCAGGTTCATTCCATCTCCATGAGTCTAAGAATTTGCCACGTGACCACTTGAAGGACAGCTTCAGCCCTTTGATCAAATGAAGTTTCTGGGTTATCTATGGATGTAATTCATCCTTGTTATGTCTGTTCTCATCGATATGAATAAATAAGAATAAAATAGTTCAATTTTCCACCCCGCCACTACCACCATCACTATAGCTATACGTAAACAATAATAACTAGAGTTTTTGGCTGAAACGAGAGGGTTTTTGTTCTATGGAGATGAGCGTTATGGTATTAGATCAGTGGTTCTTCACCCTGGCTCTACTCAGAATCACTCGAGGAGTTTAATGAAAACACTCTAGTGTGAGCCCTACCCCACACAAACTGAATCTGAGTCTCTGGGGGTGAGGTCCTGGAATCAGCACTCCTGAAAGCTTCCTTCTTGTGATTCTAATGAGGAACTGGGGCTGACAACCAGTGGTCAATGAATTTCAGATTCCTTTTGGTTATTTAATAATCGCATGCAGTTGAATTCACTGAGGACATACTTTCTCTGTGATGTTCAGCCCATTTATTTATTAAATTTGGCTATGCTGGTTTTTCATTATTGATTTTAATGTAAGAAGTAAACTCTGGAAGTTTTTTCCTGCTAATTGACCACAACTCTATATTGAATGTCTTGCCAACACCAACATGTATCTTTCCCGGCTCTCTGCCCTCAGGAAGATATGTGAAGATTAACGGCATATGTGTGGGCTCCTGCCTCCCCTCCCCCATTCGTTCCTTATTATCTAGAGGCCTGGGAAACCTGAAAGCTTCTTGAAATGGCCAGTCTGCTTTGTATGCTTGTTTTTCCCAATCATGATTGAGGAATTTCAGGGATGGGAATTAAAGTCTTCCCTCAAAGCCCACAGGCCTGTGGGATGAGCTCCCTTTCATGCTTCTCCAGGACAGAGAGAAAACAAACAGTGGCTCCCAGCCTGAACAACTATACCCCTTTGCCTGGAATTCTGGAGATTTTCCTGGTCTGCTTCAGGGCAGGGCTGTGTCCTTGAAAGCTGTCGAATTTGATTGAAAAATCGGTGTACTCTGAGTGGGCAGATTAGGCATTTCATTATAGCCGTATCTGACTTAGGTGCTGTTGTAAATCATCTCAGCTACTTGAAATGACCCCCAGTTAAGTGAGAGAGGTGTCATAGCAGCTGATGAGTTATCCCCCCTAGGAACATCACGTTTGTTCTGAATGCTCAACAGGGTGTTGTGGGGGACAGTCAGCGTGAAGGGAGGGGAGGCTGCAACTCCATTCTACTTGATACCATGTGCAGGGCCAATCAAGTGCATCTGTACACAAGCACACTCACACACAGGCACACACACTCAGTGAAGCTTGGCATGTGCTCACACACAGAGAAGAGCAATTAGTAAGGCCATGAATTGGTACAAACATGACTTGACAAACAAACACGACTTGATTGTTTTTGGTAATCATTTGTTAACTTAAGTAAGAGCTTAGGCTGACTACTATTTTTTGTAAGTATTGAATCAGGCTGGCTCTCTGGTAGGAAATGTGTGATTGCAAGTCACTACTCTCCTGGGTAATTACTAATCACCCACAGACAGTTACTGACGGAATGAACTAAAGCTATCCCATTTAAACCTTCAGGTATTTGTAGTTTATAGTTTGTTGAGGAAGTATAAATTGTAACCCCAAATTAGCAAATTTTTTCATATTATAAAACATTTTTCTTTTTACAAAAACCTGAGCTTTGTCTTTGGTTGCAATGTATCTCCAGGTCCACACCTCACATATATCTGTGCTGTCCAATCAGCTAATTTGTTATTAAGGAGTTTAGTTTACAAAATCTTAAAGCATCCTTGTTATAAGGCTGTTGTCCCTGCAAGAACATAGAATTGTTACTGCACATAAACACAGGTTCACACAGTAGGGCCAATAACTGAAACATCAGGTGGCAAGGAAAGAGGTTTATTATCAAAAGGCAGTGAGACAAGGAGATAGGAGCTAGAACTCAGAACACCTCCTCGAAGGGAAAAAGGTAGGAGTTTTTATCTGCAGTGTTAGGTAGGGGCGGGAGAGCATGTGCTGGGGCTTTAGGTAGGGGAGGGGGAGCGTGTGACCATGTGAGTTGGCACCTTCCCACCAGCCTGCATTTGGCCTTGAAGACTGAATTTCTTTTCCCTTGACTGTCTGGACTTTTCTGGTTAGTTTTCATCTTCAGCCTGCATTTGGCCTTGTGAAGCTGAATCTTGACGTCTGGACCTTGACTTCCTGCAAAAGACAGCTCACTCATATGCTAAGGAGGGACAGAAAGACCTGGTTAGTCTTGAATAACTGTTGATTATGCTGAGTACGCACAGCCACAGTTAGCAAAGCTTATCTCAAAGTTTCTTAGTCTAGGGAAGACTTTTCAAGCTTTTCATTCTCGGTTTCAGAATTATAAAAATGAAACTTTCAAACTTTCACTGACCCTGAGTTAGGGCCCTCTGTGTTTCCCCTTTAGTAACATCCATCACATTTGTAATTACTTGGTTAACATCCATCTTCTCCTAGACTGTAAGACCATAAGAATAGGGACCACATCTAGTGTTTTCACCCTTGTAGCCCTCATGCTTTACACCATTCCTGGCACATAGAAGACATTCAATAGATCCATAAATGAGTGAATAAGGATGAACTAATAATGGACCCCGAATACCAATGACACAGAACAAACAAGGATGTTTTTTTCCTTGCCCCTCTGCATCCTAGCTGGGCAAACACAAAGCTATCTTGGGCTGATGGCACCACCTAGTGGCCATGTACAAATTTATCTGACCTACCATGTTTTCCCCACCAACTATTCCTTTCTGAAGAGGAGAAAATACGTTTATTATCCCAATGATGCCTCTGGCACAATTTTTTTCTTTTTCTTTACTATTACCAGAATCCTGGTCCTCATTATCTGGCCAATTTGAATACCCTCCTAAATATTTTCCTTCATTCTTCTTGCTCGTTCTCACCGCAAACCATCCTTAAACATCCCATTCATCACATTTTCCTGCTCTAAATGCTTTATGTTTCCCTGTAGCAATGTTTTTCACACTGTAGATCACAATCCATTGATGATTTATTAAGTAAATTTGATGGGTCAACGCTGGCCTTTTAAAGAAATCTGAAATATAATAAAAAATAGAGTACATTACATTCATTTGGGAAATAATGTTTCTTGAAACTTTCAGTTTTAAACACACACACACAGCCCCTTACCACATGCAAGTGTATTGGATTGGGATGTCAAATACTTTACCTATGAAAACCACAATCAGTAGAATTAAGTTTAATAAGTCTGATGTTAAAATCCTCCAAGCAATACTTTGTGGTGGTGAGACTTGAGTTTTAATGTGGTTTCTGCTGAGTTGAACATAATCTCTCTAAGCTTCAGATTTCTCAACCGTACAACTTAATTGATAGAGGCAACTGTGAAAATTAAATAGGATAATACGTGTAAAATGTCTCTGACAGTGTTTTGTACACACTATTTGGTTAGTAACTATTACTCTTCTGCTTTCCAAACTTATTTCCTTTTACTCCTACTTTTATCCTTCGCTTCCACCAAATTGCTCTCTTTATTGTCTAAAAATAACCTGAATTTTTCACCTCTACTCCTTTGTTTTGCTATCTTCCTCATATGTACCAACTTTCACATCTCACCTTACCTAATTCCTTTCCATTCTTCAAAACCCAGCCCAGTGCCACCTTCTCCGTGAAGCCTTCCTTGACCCTTGTAGCACCAGTGATCATCTTATAAGCTCATTAGCAGCAGTGACCGTATGTCTAGAGTTCTCTGTCATTCTCCAGGGTAAAGAGTCATGCTTTGTTCATGTTGAGAGCTCTGACAAAACTTACAGGATGAAAGGGGGAATGGTCCAATGGCAGCGGCACCCCTGGGGATGGATGAGATCTTCTCCACAACTTTCCAGTTGGATGATGCTGTGGGACTTATGACACTCTCCTTATGTTACCTGTTGCCCTGAAATGGTCCAATAGTCTGCTTTCCTCTCACTTGGAGGAAGTGCCTTTCATGCCTTGGATGTGAATGCTGAGCTGAGTGGTAGAAATGAAAGGAACAGCAAAAGTAAAAAGCAAAACAATATCTTCTTTCTATGGTATGGTTATTATTCATCATCCATCAATAGGAACTTTTAGAACTCTGCTAATAAATCAAAATGAACAAATTGAGTATATATCTGCTTTTTCAAATACATACAAATTGGCAGTATTATTGCTATAAATGTTAACTTTCTGACTTGAGCTATACTGAGATATTGTTTCTGTTTGCAGTCACCAACTGGCCATGGATGTGGAAAATAACATTGAAAAATGTCACCTCAATCTACAGCCCTTGGAATCGAAGGTGAAAATGTAAGTTATTTCAAAGTTTACATTAAAGGATTACTTTTACAGTTCTCGTTTTATTAATTCCTGAACTACTCTGGAATTTGAGGTACAAGAATTACACATTATTTATTTCAGATTTATGTGTCACACACTATTTTTCCCTGTTATAAGCGGCAGCAAAGCTGTTTTGGGCACACAGCACCATCTACTGGATAGTATCAGGAATTATTGGACTGTCATCACTTCATTTCTTGGGTTTCCCCTTTCAGACAGAGTACTGTTCAACTTCCAGGATGATTTTCTACTGTCTTTCATCTCAGTAACGTCGTTAATTCCACCTAGGAACAACTTGGTTATTTCCACCTCAGGCCATTCCGTTATCACAGACACACACACACACACACACACCCTTTCAACCCACTTCCTTCTTCCTATTTCCATTCCCCTCGCATCCAAGTATTTTGGAAAAATATCTCTTCTCTTTCTTTCTCACTTCCTATCCTTTTATTTTTTATTCTCTCTTACTAAAGCCAAATGTGAGTCCCCTTGCCCCACTATAAGTGACTATTGCATAAAAATAGTTCTAAAAACATCTTAGTATTAACAAAAATAAAACTAAGATCTAAAACCATTTTTAAGTAGAGAAGGGGCCTGTCATAATCACCTTAGACACAGTTTTAGACTATTCACGCCTGATCTCTGTAATCCTTTCCCATTCTGATTTTCCTTCAGGGGTACATACAAGAATTGCTTGTGAGGGTGTATATAACACACACACACACATTCAGCTTAACACTCTAAGAAGCACATATCTGAGAAATTAACTATGTCTGAGTTTGGCCAGGATCACTGATCATTAGCAAAAAGTCCAAAGAGGAATCTTTTAGAAAAGAAGCCAACCTGAAGAAGGGAGCCTTGAGGTACAACTTTGAAAAGCAATAAGCAACTGCTGGATTTGGACTTCAAACAGAAGTGATGAAGATGCATAATATCCTGCTGGATAAAGCAAATATTAGTACATACTTCTGTAACTCTACCTTGCCTTGGTTATCAGGAAAAAGCTTGCCTTGAGTGAGCGCACAGGACTCCCTCTCAAGGTGAAGTTCAAACATGGCTTCTGAAGCAGTGGGGTCCCCTGCGGGGAGGCTGCGCCTACCTACTAACTGAATAATGAATCTGGCTACGAATCGTTCTTTGTGAGCAGTGTGTCAGCCTCATTGCAAGATGTTAGTTTCCAAACATGCGTTGCCTTATCCTTAGGAATTTTTCTCATTAAGATAACATCCTCTTAAAGGAAAAAGCGCTGGGAAGGGAAGTTGGTTGCGTGAAAAATTGGAGTGTTTAATTTGAATGCTGAAACGAGGTTAGGAAACCTCCCTGGTCTTGTTTGGTTTTCATCACCTCTAATGCGTAGAGGCGGAGGGGTAGGTGCCGGGAGGAGGAGCAGGTAGACAAAGTCTGTGCCTGGGATTCGAGCCGGCCCAGAGAGTGTGGATTCTATGTGCAGCTGGTGTGATGGAGAAGCCTCAGCTCAGTGAGATGCAAATGGAACAGCTTTATCTCTTCTAACTCCAAACCCCATTTCCACTCACTGCAGGGGGATGAGGGAGAGAAAACTGAATCTGGCCCAATAATGGAATTTGAGTCCCATCAGAGAATTTACTCCTGTTCAGTGCCTCTTGTCTAATCTGGTTGTTAAATTTTTAACCGTCGTGACAGGTTGAACATCTCCCCTCACACACATTAGACCTTTCCTGCGGCTGTGCAGCCTGCTCCCCTCCCTTCTCTCTCCTTTTTCTGCTCTCCTGTCTCCCCTCCTTCCTCTGCGCCTCCTTGGTGTCACCTCACCCATCCCTCCTGTGCTCAACACCAGGGCTGCTCTGGTTTCCCTGTGGATGGTGAAAACTTTTGCTCCCAGACAGTTGTTTCCTTTAAAATAACTCTAAGGCCCTCTAAGGAGGGCCGGCTCAGTGGCGTAGTGGTTAAGTTGGCGCGTTCCGCTGTGGCGGCCCAGGCTTTGCAGGTTTGGAACCCTGGGCGCGCACGGACCCACCACTTGTCTAGCCATGCTGTGGCAGCATCCCACACATAAAGTAGAGGAAGATGGACATGGACGTTAGCCGGAGCCAATCTTCCTCATCAAAAAGAGGAAGATTGGCAACAGATGTTAGCTCAAGGCCAGTGTTCCTCACCAAAAAACAAACAAACAAATAAATAAATAAAATAGCTCTAAGGGTTGGGACCCTGTGGGAAGGGTCACTGGGTCTCCCCTGAGCCCCCCACCAATGGTGTAGGCTGTACCCCTCATTGTGGTCCTTGCTCTGCGGGGCTGTCTCCCCCAGGCTGACCTTGGCATCCTCGACAGGGAGGATCTTGGCACACCCCTATCCCCTTTCCCAAGAGACATTCTTTAGGCCTGCAGAGCACTGGGTATGAAAGACTGGGCCTTGTCCCAGGTTCCAGAGTCACTGTCAAACTTCGCAGGCTCTCTCTTAGGGTCTTCTGACTTCTGTTGATGGGAACCAGCCTGAACATCTACCTTCCCCTGGGGGCTAGAGAGAAGTGAGGGCTGTTACACCTTAAAATCTGCTTTCCTCCAAACTCTCCTCTCCCCTCCCTGATGGGGAGGAGAGAGTAGGAGGTTCCAGTGAAGGTGTCTGGACAGTCCAGCCCCCGCAAGCCCTGAGGTGGGATGGACACCGGCAGGCCCATCTCTGGACACAGAGGATAAGGCGGGATGGGGACTGTTGACAGTGAGCACCTCCACCGAATCCCTGCACTAGTGAGAGCCCTGGGGGGTGAGCATGGGGCAGGAAAGGGTCTCAGTTGCTTCCTCACACTCAGAACAACATAAAAAGGAAAGAATTTGATAAGAAAGCCCAAACCTGTATGTGGCAGTGTAAAATGTCAGTGGAAGGACGCAGAGACCTGCAGGAAAGAACGTGTGTCGGGGGTGGATTGAGGAAATATCAGGAAAGGTACATCACCTGGTTCATGAATGCGACCCGTAACAGGTAATGTTGAGTTTTAGACCTGGAGGATCAAAGCACCGCGTCAAAAAGGCGAAAGCGATCAAGATTGCACAGCTATCAGTAAAGAGTCATTTGGGAGGTGAAAGGCAGGTTTGCTGCAGATGAAGCAAAGGCGAGCCTCTCAAGTCAGATGACTCCGTGAGAGCAAAAGTGAAGTGAGAGCACCCCAGGAAGGCTCTCGCGACACTCCGGGAGGAAGGAGGAGCGTGTTCTCAAGGGCCGGGCTGGGACGGCGTCTGGGGTGAGCCACGCGTGAGAGGAGGCCCGACTGCCAAGGAAGGGAGCGACGCTCCGCACCCCATCAGACCTCTGCCCGCCCCGCGGGGTCACACCTGGCACGTTGTAGTAAGATTGAAAACGCGTCTTCCAAATACAAAGCGTCGTTTAAACGTTGTCCATCGACTGTGTGCAATCCTTCTCCTTATTCTTAACAATATGTTTATTTCCTGACGGAACAACATAGACATCTATTGGATACAAATCACCTTTTAAAAGTCTGCTCATTAAATATGTTCAATTCCTCTCATTTTTTATTTGATTTAGTGAAACAAAATCAAATGTAAAAAACTAAACAACATTTAGATTCTATGAAGGAGAGAGACAATCAGACACCCTCTGGAGAAAGAAGACAATTCCCAAAAGAATTTCAAAGATATTTCTCAGTAAAGCCTGGTTAAATTGCATTTGTTTGAGAGTAATGCCTATCAGCCTTAGTCAAAAGTTTAATTCAAAGAAGATATGAGAGAAGAGTGCTTGAGAGGACAGACTTTGGAGTTAGAGCAATCTAGCTTCAAATCTCAGCCCTGCCTCCTACCAGCTGTGTGACCTTGAGAACCCTGTGTACCTCTCTGGGCTTCAGTTGCACTCTTCTGTAAGATGAGAACACTAACCATGTCTTAAAGGATTGTAGTGAGCTTTCAATGAGAAAATCCAAGAAAAACATTTAGAAAATATATCTTTTCCATGCAAATGTACTTTTTCCAAACATATTTTTATGTCAAATGAGACTAATAAAACATTGCCAGTAAAGAGACTGAGGAATCCAGCATATTATATCAATGTATATGATTTGCACGTTCCTTAAAAATATTTGAAAGTCTTTGATTTTCTTTTTTTTCTTGAAGTATAGTTGATGTACAATACTGTGTTAGTTTCAGGTGTACATCGGCATAGTGATTTGACATTTATATACATTACAAAATGATCACCATGATAAGTCTAGTAACGATCTTCACTGTACAAAGTTATTACAAATATTATTGACAATATTCCCTATGTTGTACATTACATGCCCATGACTGATTTATTTTATAACTAGAAGTTTATACCTCTTAATCCCTTTTACCTATTTTGCCAACCCCCCATCCTCCTCCTCTCATGACTACCAGTTTGTTCTCTGTATTTATGAGGCTGTTTCTGTTGTGCGTTGTTTGTTCATTTGTTTTTTAGATTCCACATATAAGTAAAATCATGCAGTATTTGTCTTTCTCTGTCTGACTTATTTTGCTGAGCATAATACCCTCTAGGTTCATCCACATCGTGGCAAATGGAAGATTTCATTCTTTTTTATGGCTAATATTCTATTGCGTGTGTATATATACCACATCTTCTTTATTCATTTATCTATCAATGGACACTTAGGCTTCTTCCAAGTCTTGGCTTGTGAATAATGGTGCGAATAAGATAGGGATGCATATATATTTTGAATTAGTATTTTCGTTTTCTTTGGATATATCCTCAAAAGTGGATTTGTGGATTATACGGTATTTCTATTTTTAATTTTTTGAGGAACCTCCATACTGTTTTCCGTAGTGGCTGCACCAATTTTATATTCCCACCAGCAGTGCACGAGGGTTCCCTTTCTCCACATCCTCTTCAACACTTGTTATCTCTTGTTTTTTGATGATACTTTGCGGACAGGCATGAGGTCATATCTCACTGTGGTTTTGATTATCTAGGACCTCTATTTGTCCAGTTTGGGGCTAAGTGACT